AAAAGACGGCAAAGTGGTCTTTTTCCCAATCTATTTTATTGTGATACCGAGTTTACATTCATCCGTCAAAACTAATTTTTAGTTTTTTGAACATGGCAACAATGACCCTTTTGTGTTATGTAGAAGAAGAAATGTCTGTGCAAGAGGGCTTCGCAAGAATGCTTGACTACATTGACCAAGGGTTTCACTGATGATCAGAAGGGAGCTACCAGTGAGATGGGATTGCAGGCATTGATGGATGTTCGATGCATGAATCTAGTGAACCCTGTATGTGACTGGCTTGGTGAGATATACTATCCTGCGTCTAGGGAATTTGTCATTCCGGGACGTGAAAGAATCCCTTTGGACGAGGAATCTGTGTTCTGCACTTTGGGTGTCCCCCGTGGAGAAATCAAAGTTCCGTATGAGGTGAACAATAAGATCGAGAAAGTTTTGTTCCCCCGTTTGTTTCCTGGAATGGCATCCATGCCTAATACGACTGTGCTGGCAACTTCGCTGGAGGGAACGACAACCCATGGTGAGGTATTTAAGATGAAATTGTTGATGCACCTGATCTCGTCTGTCTTTGCGCCTACCACGTCGTTGCGCCCAAGCAACAAGTGCTTCCCTATCCTGGTGAATGCTCTCTCTATTCTTCTTCCCACAATCTTTTGTTTTGGATGTCATGTAGAAGCTAGTCTCTGCCAGTTTGTTGTTGTTATTGACTGTCGATGTGGCATCTTTTGTCCTGAATTCCTTTTGTGCAGGCAAAACTAAAATATGGTAAATACATGAATCGGTGCGAATTCATTGCCGACTTTCGGCATGTTGCATTCTCAATTAAGATGTACCAGAAGGGCTATCGGCTGCACCTTATGGTATTTTTCTTGTTGTTTTGCAAATGCTCTTACCACGGTTCATTATTTCCTCGAAGACTTTTACAGTTGTTCATAAGTGGCAGCAATTTGTTTTGCATGTGGCATCTCTGTTCGGCCATACTGTGTCAACCCTATGTTGATAGAGCTTTAAATGATTTTTTGCTTTTTTGAGGGCAACCATAGTTGATCATATACGACAACTTTCATTTTTTTGTGCTTTTTGCATGTCAAAGTGAAGATGTTGATACATGGCAGCTGTAGTTGACGCCTACATGGAAATTATAGTTTTCTACAACATATATAGTGTTCACTTGATCTATTTTTCATTTGTTTTAATTACTGATACATGGCAAACATACGTCCACGCCCATGGCAAATCTTTCTTTTATTTTTTAACTTGTGACTCAAGGGAGAGTGTATTGCCAACGACATTTAAACCGTAGTCATATTCCTTTTTCTTTTTCCCCGCATTTTTATCTGTTTTCCTTTTTTGCACAACACTGATCAGTGACATATTCTGATTTACTTACTCGCTTTATTATGTAAAACAGCTCATGTACGTCGATCGTCTTGATTTGTCCATTGTCGACTTCACTGAGATAGGAGGTCAGCTGCCTCCACATAAGTGTGCTGTCTCTGCCTGGAGTTATGATGTTGTCAAGGCTGTGCTTGCCGCAGACAGAATATCTGATACAAAATATGGGAAATTGCAGGTTAGTTTTGTCTCCTTTCTTGCACCGCTTTCTGGAAGTTCACTGTTGGAAATAGTATGAAAAAACAAAACTGATCCATATTGGTTGTTCATAGTTTTTCTTTTTAAGGAGAGGATTATATAGCGTATACAACATGGCAAACACGTTTGGTTATGTGTGGCAAATGCACAGTATTTTAATTGGCATCCATATTATAATTTGTGCATTCAACTTTGTCTGTGCATTCCATTGGACCACCTCACCGCTTTCACTATGTTTAACAACTCATAAAGAACTTGGCAACCATGGTTATCTCCATATGGCAACTTTGCCGTTCCCGTTGATTTCTTTTTCCTTGCAATCCATGACCATAGTCATTGCTTCTTATTTTGACCTTTTTTCTTTTTGCTATTTTTTCAGCTGATGGTCAAGCATGCCATAGACTACAGTGTGTTTGGTGGGCCACATAATTTCGGCAAGTGGATGGATGTGCATTTAGCTCCATCTTGTCCCGTTGAGGTAATGAAGCATGTTTTTTGTTGTTTGAATGATGTTTTCTTGCATTTGACCACTCTTTACTATTTTTTGCCTTCTTTTTCTTATGCACATGTTCTAATGTGTTCGGAACTTGTTACTTTCTGTTTTCTGATCAGGTCAGGGCACTTGTGAGCACCTAGTCGGGGAGTTTGCTTCTGGCATGACCAGCTTGCTTGGAAAGTTGGTCGAGGGTTGGACAACATTGAATGGTTCTGATAGCGACGTGGTCCATCCATAGTTGCCATGTATGTTTATCTGGTTGCTGCAACTGCAGTTGCTGTCTAGCAACGAATCATAGTTACCATGTGTATTTAACTAGTTGCCACGTATGCGCAACTGCAGTTGCCCACCAACAACGTACGAGTGTCGTGTGGGCGAAAAGCAGTTCGCCCACACGCGCGTGGACTAGGTGGTGACTTTGTGGGCAGAAACTAGTTCGCCCACACAGCGCAGCTGGTAAATCGCGTGCTGCGGGGCGTGTGGGCGAACTTTCCAACGCTCACACACACGATGATGCCCACATTTTTTTTAGAAAAGGAGGATGGCCCCCGAGCCTCTGCATCTGGAAGATGCATACGGCCACTTTATTAATTATTCTCGAGGACCTTACAAAATATTACAACAATGTGCCTGAATCCACCATCTTGGTAGCATATGCCACTACTCCTATCCAAAATGATGAAGGGGTGCTAGTTGGGTCACTACCCAAATCACTCACCTAAGCCTAACATCAAAAGCCGGAAGCCGAAACTCATTCGGAAGCCCCAGCCGAGCCACATACCGGGTCTGGGGCACAATCCGGTCAGACGCACTCGTGTGTCGTCGCCGCCATCTTCCACAAGTCCGTCTTCAGATCATATTGAGGCCTCTACCTTGTCTGGCCACTCTGCCATCGATGTCACCATGACGCCGCACAACAACCTCCTCCTGCGTGAGTCCATCTCCGTGCATCGGACGCCGAGCCTCCACAGCGCCATGCCGCCGATATCCGCCGCCATCAATGTGTGAGATGAAGCACCGCTCCACCATCCCCCCAGCCATCACTTACTCCAAAACGATGCCCCCCCGGGAGGGAAAGCGATAAAACGCCATCATCGTCCGAACCGAAAGACCCAGATCTAGGGCTTCCCCCGTAGCATCCCGAGCCTGATGACGCAGACTGCAATGACGATGCCTCGACAAGGGAACGACATCTAAGACGCCGCTATCGTCCGCCATGACCGTAGTCGGCGCGATTTTCATCGACAGTTGCTCCACCAGACATGCGCCGCTGACGTCGCTGGTCCCTTCAACCGGAGCAAACTCCAAAACAATGCCCTAAAGAGGGACTACAACGCAAAAGCGCCATCATCGTTCGATCCCAAGGAGATCTAGGGTTTCCCCTGGAGTTGCCCGCGCTGTCAAGGACCAGACAAGGGTAGAATCCCGCGGATCTGCCCAGCTGCCGACGAGTCGCACCCACCACCGTGCCGACGGCAGACCAGCGATCAAGGCCCACGCATGGGCATAGATCCGGTCGCGCCGCCGCGAACCGATCCGGTCACGCCGCCGCGAACCGACCGGTCACGCCGCCGCCGTCCTTGTCGGCCGCGACGCACCAGATCGCGAGACCTCCTGCCACGGGGAAGCGAGGTCGCCGATGCGCCACCATCCGCAGCCTACCGCGCGGCCGATCTGCCGCCGCCTCAAACCTCCGGCGTGCGCCGCGCTGTGGTGCCCCGTCGCCGCCGCACCACACCTCGGAGCAGCCACGTCCGCCCGCGAAGAACTGTTGCACGAGGAGGCAAAGGGGGCCCCGCCGCCGCCGACGCCGGCCGGGCTTCGCCCGGTCGCGCCCTGTGGCGGCGGCGAGGGAAGGGACGGGAGACGAGAAGCCTGCCGGCGGGGATTTGGGGGCGCCTCCCGGTCGCCTCGCGGGGGCGACTCGGGAGGGCAGTTTTTTTTATCGGAACCAGTCGATGATGCCCACATGGCACTCAGATTCTAACAAATTCCTTTAGGATTCGTGTAAAACAGAATCAACATGGACCAAGGCGCGTGGGCGATGTGCAAACATGCCACACGTGTGGACGTTATCATTTGGAAAAAAGAAAAGAATTTCAGGGTGGCCTACGTAAGCCCTCTCCTCACGTAACACGTAGGTGCCTAGAATAAAAATCATGAGTGCTCGTCAAAGGCGTCAATCCACCATTTTCAAACTTGCCAACGCATATGCATGCCAGCATGCGTGCTCTTGAAGCACTTCAGCAAAGGGGTAGGCAACATATCATTTTCGATGCTCAATTTTTTCTTACTTCATTAATGGAACGCGCGTGCTGCTTGTCGATTGTCGCCTTTACCAGCTCGGGTCCTCGTCGTCGTCGTTGGACTGCTTACCCGTCGAGACTCATCGCTCCACCATCCGAGCTGCCTGACGTGCTGCGTTATCATGGCCACTCTCAGAAAAAATATCCACTTCTCCCGTCCTCGGTCGAGCTGAGCATCTCTCCGGCCGTCCCATTCTCTCTGGTCTCTGGCGAGCTGATCGTCTTCTCTCCGCCCAAACCCAGCAGCATCAGCAGCAACTCTCCCCTCTCTACGGAGCCTCTTCTCCACCCTCTTCCCTGTCAACGACGGCACGGACAGGACCACCTGGCCAGGGTGACGCCCTCCCCTTGTCCTCATAACCTTCCCCGCCCAGATCCGGTGGCGGGGAGCTCTGGAAGGCAGTCTCTGGCCATGGCAACGGCGGCACGCTCCTCCGGCGTCCAGTTTCTCGACTAGCTCGCACCGCCGCTTGAGTCACTGACCCCCACCGCCTCTCTCTCTCTGGTTCCAGGGCAGCGCTGTCGAGAACTTGCGATTTGCCTCCGCTACTGGGTTGGGATTGCTTGCTCTCACTCACAAAAGCAGCAAGCTCACCAAGCTCGTCGGAATGGCAGGGGTGTTGGACCTGCTCCTCGGCAAGCTCACCATGCTGCTCAGCGACGAGTACAAGATGCTCACAGGGGTGAGGAGGCATGCCTCCTTCCTCAAGGATGAGCTTAGTGCCATGAAAGCTCTCCTTGACAAGATGGAGATTATGGACAAGCTTGATCCCCCGACCAAGAACCGGAGGGACCATATAAGAGAGATGTCCTATGACATGGAGAACTGCATCGATGACTTCATGCATGACATTGAAGGTACCCATTTAAAGGCAGGCTTTGTTAGAAAGATGGTTCAGCGTCTTAGGAGGCTGGGGAGACGTCATAAGATAGCGAAGAGGATCAAGGAGCTCAAGGTTCTTGCGGTGGAAGCAAATGCTCGACGCGAGAGATACAAGATTGATGGTTGCATCAATTCGAGTCGTGGTGTTGCGGTTGTGGATCCCCGGATGTCGGCGATCTACAAGGATGCGGCATGCCTGGTGGGTATTGATGGCCCAAAAGAAGAGCTTGTCAATTGGTTAATGGATTCACAGAAGAAACTCAAAGTAGTTTCTATTGTGGGGTTCGGAGGTTTGGGTAAAACTACACTTGCCAAATAGGTGTATAATGAGATTGGAGGGCAATTTAACAGTAAGGCATTTGTTTCGGTCTCCCAAAGACCTGATATGAAAAGCCTTATGGGTGGGGCCTACAATTCAAGCTTGGACTGCAGGAGTCTTCTCATGCTCACGAGCTGCAAGACTTCATTGACCAGCTTAGAGAACACCTCAAACATAAAAGGTATTTGTTCTTCTCTTGATAGCTGTATGATTTCCCGAGAGACATTTACTTTTAAACAGTTGTACCCATGAGTCATGACGAAGAGATTTTGTTAGGCCAATCCAAAATATTGTGTGGCGGTTCGGCTATAAAAAACTTGTGCTGGTTCATAAAGATTAGTATTAGGATCAAAACTGTAAACACAAAGCATGTTTATATGTCTTATTCTTGTAGTCCATTATAATAAATGAACCTCTATGTGGCAAGCATATAAGTCGTTATAATCTGGGACAATAAAATTAGGACATTGAACCCCCAAGGTTTCCTTTCATTACAAACTTTGCCATATTTCTATATGTCCCCCTTATTTTTGAAAGACAATGGTCATCATCCTTTACTATGTTTGTTTCCTTCGTTTTAGTTTTGATGCTTTCTCTATACCTTATAATCGTATACGAACATAATTTATGAATAACTTGTGCAAAAATTGCAATAGGTACTTTATTTTATTGGATGACTTGTGGGATCAATCGACATGGAACATTATTAGTTGTGCCTTTCCTGAAAATGATAATGGAAGTAGAGTAATGGTAACCACACGATTGGATGACGTAGCTGCCAGGGCGTGTCACAATGACCGTGCCTGCCTTTACATAATGAAGCCCCTTGGAGAGCAAGACTCAAGAAGATTATTCTTTAATAGAGTATTTGGGTCTGAAAATGTCTGCTCGATACAATTCAAAGAAATTTCAGTTGAAATTCTCAAGAAGTGTGGCGGATTGCCACTTGCAATTATCACCATAGCTAGCCTATTAGCTAGCCATGAAGCAGGATCTTCAAATGGATGGGAGAGCATAAAGAATTCTCTTGGCGCGAAGATTGCCACAAAACCCACCTTGGACGAGATGAGGGGTATATTAAACCTTAGCTATACGCATCTTCCTATTCATCTCCGACCATGTTTTTTATATCTTGGCATGTATCCAGAAGACCGTTTGATCATTAGGGATGACCTAGTTCGACAATGGATAGCCGAAGGATTTGTTTGTAATTTGCATGGAGCAGATTTGGAAGACGTTGCCAAGAGTTATTTCGTTGAGCTTATCAATAGAGGTCTGATTCAGCCTGAAGAAACATGCTATGGGGATGTAATTACATGCAGGATACACGACATGATGCTTGATTTGATCCTAAGCAAGAGTAAAGAGGATAACTTCATCAGTGTGGCATATAAGCATGAAGACATGGCAAGATTTAATAGTCGTGAGTACAAAGTTCGTCGATTATCTCTCCAATCAAGTGTTGATGGTGCAATGTCGAAGACCCTTGCTACTAGCATGTCACAAGTCCGATCATATACACAGTTTGGAGAGTCCAAGTACATGCTTCCTCTTCCACAATTTAAGTATCTACGGGTGCTTGCCTTTGAGTTTCCGTTAATTGGAAAACGACAATCGACCTGAGGACAACTGGCCATTTGTTTCTACTAAGGTATTTGAAGGTTTCAGCTTTGTCCGCGGATGTAGCGCTGCCTGTAGAAATTCAAGGGCTTGTGCATTTGGAAATTCTTGAGTTACATTGTCGTCCCATACAAAGGTTCCCATCAGATATCACTCGCTTGGCCAACTTGTTTCATTTGATACTTCCAGAGTGCACATTGCTTCCTGAAGGGATCCAGAACATGAAATCAGTCCGCACCCTGCATTGTTCGGACATCTCAGAGAGTTCTCTGGAGGAAATCAATGGCCTCAGCGAGCTGACCAACCTGAAGGATTTGAAGTTACGTGTGCCCACTTACTTCCCAGGCATGACGATTGGATGTTTCGATGCTTTGCTCTCCTCCATTGGAATGCTTGGAGACCTCAAGCACCTCTCCCTCGAGTGCTGGCATAAATACGATGGCTACGACAGCCAGTTGGACTCATTGTCCGATCCTCCACCCTATCTCCAGACAATCCATTTGAAAGGTTTGTCATTTAATATAGTTCCAAAATGGATTGGTGAGTTACGCTGCCTCCGGATCCTCTCTCTGCGTGTCTTGTACCTGCCGAGTGACATGGTTCGTGTTCTTGGAAAACTTCCCTCCCTCGTCTTCGCCAGGTTCTACGTGTCGGACGTCTCCCAAGACAAGGTGGTGGTCCGCACGGGGTTGTTCCCGGTTCTAGAGTGCTTTGATTTCCAGTCCGATGAAGATGTCACCGCGAATCTGAGCTTCGAGCCAGGAGCTATGCCCAAGCTCCAAAGGCTCGCTCTGGCATTCGACTGGCAAGAGTGGAGAGGCGCCACACCAACTGGCATGGAGTGGGAGTGCCTACTCTGCCTCCTGGACATTGACTTGAGTATTACTACTGTTTCAAGCAATAATAATCTGAAACATAAATACGATACTATGGAGTCTGCATTCAAGGACGCCGCACGGATGCACCCAAGACATCCCTCTGTTACATATTTTTAGATTGGGAAACATTTGGAATCGGCGCACCGGCCGAACGCTCGGCCGGTGCCCCTCGCCCGCTCGCTCTTTTCCACGTACGCTGCCCATACGTTTTTTTTTCTGTACTTCTTCTTCCTCGCGCAAGCGCCTTCCCCTGGATGCATTGTCCCCTCCCCCCTCCCCCTCCTCCTGAGCTGCGACTGGGCCACCACGACCTCCATCGCCGGCGGCCAGGCTCCCCTCGCCGGCTGCGATGGCTGCCTGCCGCCATGGCCAGATCCATCCCCTACCTCAAGCCTTCACGCAGGCGCATCCCCTCCCCCCTTCCCCCTTCCTCCCGGGCTGCGACTGGGCGACCACGATCTCCATCGCCGGCGGCCAGGCGCTCCCTCGCCGGCCGCCATGGCTGCCTGCCGCCATGGCTGGATGCACCCCGTGTATACTAATGTTGCAACTGTCACCTAAAACAGCTTCAACAGCTGTTGAAAAAAGCTTCAACCATAGACAGAAAAGCTTCAATGAAACTGCACAACAAGGGGAAGCTGCAACCGCAGTTGGATTTTGTTACTACTGGCGAAGTTTTTTGCTACATCCATCAGGCGGAGCTGCGACCTCGCGATGATGACAACGACGATTTTTGTTGCAACCGTAGTAGATTTTTGCTACTACCGCTGAAGTTTTTGCTACATCCATGTAAGGCAGAGTTGCGACCTCGCGAAAGACGGCGACGGTGTTTGATTTTTGCTGCAACCGTAGTTTTTTTTGCTACTACTGGTGAAGTTTTTTGCTACATCCATTCCAAATGGCGTTGATTGACCGACGGCCGCCGTCGACATAATTTCCTGCAGCGAGCATCAATGGCGAGGGGCGGCGGCCGAGCTACAACCGCGCCGTCAAGAGCTGCAAACGCAGGTGGAGTTGTTGCATGGGAACTGGCGATGAAGACAGCCGGCGAGGGCGGGGACCGGCGACGAGGTCGGCCGGCGAGGACGGGGTCCGGCGGCGACGAGGAATACCAGTGAGGGTGGGGACCGACGACCACCGGAGGGGACAAGAGGCGCGGCGCCGCGCTCCCCCGAACGGGATATGCGGATCCAACCAACTCCGCGAGGAAGAAGAGAGCTGGGGGCGATTTGTTTTTTTTTTTCCGCTTGGATCCAACGGCCGCGTGGCCTAAATCGAACGCCCCGGGCTGGACCGGCCGAAACTTTCGGCCGGCGCACCGGCGCCTATAAGCGCCCTTTTAGATTTATTCCGTTGATCGGCGTCTCATTTGTAACTTAACCAATTCCCTGACACTTTGATGTCTTAATAAATTTATTTATTACGATATCTCTTGTGTATTTGATTTCTTGAGTTTTGTAAACCCCATACAATTCAGCTTTATTGACCCAGATCGACACTCAGCAGACCCTTTGACAAATGATCCGTCGAGTTTGGAAATGCTTCGTCTCATGAAAAGAAAATTTTGTTGTGAAGAGAGAGAGACATCTCTCTGTACTGCTCTTTATATGCGTCTCTCTTTTGAGTTGAATCTTTTAAGCCAGATTACCAGAAGCTGGGTGTGCCTTCTGGTACGGACATGCTAGGTACTACTCCCTCCGTCCCGAATTACTTGTCGCATAAACGGATAAAAATGGATGTAGAACTAAAATACGTCTAGATACATCCATTTTTTCGACAAGTATTTTCGGACAGAGGGAGTACTAGGTTGTAAACATGCAAATTTTCAGTAGAATTCGGGTATAAAGTTAGGTTTGACCTAGTCAAATGACTGTGCATGTCGCTGATCTTGATGCTAGATCGAAGGGCCCTGGTACCATTGTTCTTCCAAACTTTATTGCCGACAAATATAAATTCATCCTTCATTGGATGAACTTGTTATTTATGGGACCTCCATCGGTTCAGTTCCAATGACTTATGTAAGATGTACGTATATGGTAAGGCTAATTCATTTGTAGATCACGCTTTAGTCCATAGGTTGTCTTTTCAAATTTGAAAACTCTCAACTAAGGTCAACTATGGTATTTAGAAACAAATATTACAAATCCATAGGAAAATGGTAAAGAAATCAACACAAACGGAGATCAGATAAAACCGGTACACGAGCGGATATGTGATTCTTTGAAAGAATTTGCACTGGATTTTGCAGGGGGTTTGAAGAAGGCTTTCGCCCCAGCTTACAGCGAGGATGGATCGGGTGCAGGCAATTGATAATAGGATGCCCAGACTCAGCTCCGGATACGAACTAAATCTCTGCTCTTCATCCGCCGGACCCCCGTGTGCGCATTCGTCCAGGCCTTTTGCTTTTGACGATCAGCCTTTGTGGTAAGCTCTGGCGCCGCGCCGCCGCCCGCTGGGGACACCTGCCGATGGTTCTTCGCCGCCGCAGCGGGCGTGGTCGGATGGACTCAGCCGTGGCGAGAGGTGTGGAAACGGTGCGGGAACGGCGAATGCGGAAGCGGCGTCAATGAGGGTACACTCGGTCGGGTCGAGGCACCGGGGGAGTGCTTGGTTGCCTGCATACAGTCCAACCAGACCCGCGCGGGAAATACCTATTTAGTAGCTCACATAGATCTGCATCGTACGCTTCTTAAAGCACCTCTGGGCCTAGCTGACTGGAAACGCAACAGTCTGCAGTTTCTTTGGAGCCAGGCCGAGCGGAAGGGCAGCCAGCTGGAAACAAAGGGAGGGATGCGAGGTGTTTAAGTGGTGTCTTCTTCAAAACTTCTCTCTTCTATGCCCCTCTAATCTACACAACGATGCTTCGATTCGTGGTAAGCTCTACACGGAAAAGATGCACAATGATGCTACGGTTCCATTCAGGTGATCGGTTTGTAGTTTCGTCGGCCCTAAGTTTTTAACCTCGTTTTCCCGTTTGGAGCTATTCTGGACGAATTTTGTAAATTTGTCGTGCACGATCGATCATTTGAAATTTCCTTTGACCAGCAGCCTAATCTCCCAGTTCCTCACAACATTCGTGTTGTAAATTTTTAGTTTCGACGATCTTAGTTTTGTCTCTTTTTGAACAGCAGTCTACTGCACTGACGCCGCCATGTCGAGCTCCTCTATCCTCTGCTCAGAGCCCTCCTATTCGTCCCTCTCGACGCCGAAGACCTTCCCTTGATCTCCTTGCCCGCGTGCTACTACACTAGAGTCGTTTCTGGCGTCGTTCATCTCGGCCTACTCACTGTCGTACTCCTACTACACTGACGCTGCAATGACGCGCACACTGCTTTCTTGTGTCCTATGCCTTCGCGCACACTGCAGTTCACCGCGCCGCTGACGGGGTCGATCATCTTCGCCTCCTCTCTCTCGCCCTACTACATTGGAGTCGTTTCCGGCGTCGATCATCTCGGCCTCCTCTCTCGTCCACTGCACTCACGATAGCATGGCGCGAGCACTGCATTCTTCTCCTCTGTCCACTGTCTTTGCGCGAGCACCGCAACTAGTTCGCCGACGGTGTCGCTCGCCGTGCCGCCGACGGGGTCGCTCGTCCACGACTCCATGCTTGTCATGTCGGACACGACGCCACGACCACTATCCACCGTAGTCGCCATTGTCTGGCGCACACTGCACTTCTTCTCCCCTTCCCTCTGCTAGCTCTTAACCCTGTCTGCTAAGTGAAGTGCTACCTCTTAATCATACCTCATGCGTGCAACCAAACACCAAGTTCATGTGCCGCTTGGGCCAATGCAGGCAACCAAACAAAGCGCACTTGCGTACTACCTAATGCAGGGACCCTAGATGCAGGCAACCAAACAACTCGCAGATGTCGCATATGAAGCTATTTTTTCAGAACCAGGCTGAGTTGAGATGTGTATGCAACGCAACTACTATTTACTATGGCAACCAAACACGCCCTGGGTGTTTCTTCAGAGAGGTCAACTGTGCAAATGAACGTTTCTTTAGGAGCCTCGTTTGAGCAAATGATGTCATCAGAGAGTGTTTCCTCAAAATCTCACTTCAAGGGAACACTGGGAAATTGTCATGTTAATACAGAAATACTCTATTTGTCATGCTATTATAGAAAGTTTTGCCATGTTGAAAAGAAATGGTTGTCATGCTTAAGGATGGCAATGGGTAGGGTATGGGCAGGGTAGAGCAATACCATACCCATACCCGTATAGTCAGTGGGTATAAAATTCTATCCATACCCATACCCATGGGTATGAAACTTTACCCATACCCATACCTGACACGTACCCGTACCCATTGCGTATCCAACGGGTAGAACAAATAGTACACAAGTTGTTCACAATTTTACGCTCATTAATAGCACATTTGACAGAAAATAAATTATCTCAGCTCAATGACAGGTTGATGAGTAAATGACCACTATCAAATTTAGAAATCACATCATACTTTTAAGTTAATAGGAGTAGATGAGTCACATGACATATTAATGACTAATAGACGACAACTTAATATTAGTTCACAGATGGGCAAGGTATGGGTTTACCCGCGGGTACAGGGCTATACCCGTACCCTACCCATGACTTAATGGGTAGGGTATGAATACTATCCATGGGTATAAAAGTGTGCCCATACCCTACCCATATGGGTACGGTACCCGCGGGTACCCGTACCCATGAGTAAAATTGCCATCCTTAATCATGCTACTAAAAAGAATTATTAGAAAATTACTATGCTGCTGCGGAGTAAATTGACGTCGATTCTATAACAATTAGGAAACATTTTCTGATGGTACGCAAACGCAAATGTGGGTGCGACCAAGGCAAAGTAGCCCGACATCTCGATATTTCCAAACACACAACACAACGGGATGAATTTGATTTAGGATTTGCAATGACACAATGACAGCATGCCTACCAGTGGCGGGTGTCAAAAGCACATCAATTGCAGGCAGGGCTCCCAGGGCGCCCGCCACGGACCTCCCGCTACTGATAACATGTCATCAGTGGTAGGCGGGCTCCCGCCACTGGTAAAGACCTAGCAGTGGCGGGCTTTACCTAGCGCCCGCCACTAGCAATTCACTAACTGCACAAACTACCAATGGC